AATTCTGGATATTATTACATTTAATACATTACATTACAAAAAAAGCTCACTGTGTCCATGTTGATTTAAACAAAAAATACTGTATATTGAAATATTATTACAATTTACAGCGATAGTTTAAACAAAAAGGAAAATTGTGTCATACTCTCAATTGTGACTCACTCTCAAGTTGTTCCAAACGTGTACGAGTTTCTTTCTTATGTTGAACACAAAAGAAGAGATTTCTAAGAATGCTGTTAAGCAGACAGCTGATGGCCATTGACTTCCATTGTAAGGAAATATATTATATATGGTGTCAGTCAATGGCTATCATATAAAATATCTCTTTAAAATAATAGTTTATTCTAATATACTGAATTGGTGCTCAAGAAATATTTATTATCAATGTTGAAAACAGTTGTGATGTTTACCATTATACATTTTACAAGTTCATAACAGCAGCATTTATTTGACATTATATTATATTACAAATGTCCTTGATTTTACTTTTTGATATATTTTTACGTCCTAAATAAAAGTATTTTTTTAAGTCTTACTGAATTCAAACTTTTGAACTACATATTACACTTTAATTTTGTTTTATAGTTTTAACCCAGTCTCTGTTGTCTTCCCTTAAAATATTTTATTTATTTATTTATTTTTTGTGGATTAAATAGTGGATTGTGATCTAATTGAATTTAAACAGAAACAAAAACTACTATTCAAATACAATAAAAAGTTAATAGTATATTTGAATTAACTGCTGAAGCAACACTGCATAAGACTGAAGACTATAAATTGTATCTTAAAATAATTGTATTTTATCAAATGTTTTCACTTCTTTGTTAATTGGTTTATACTTAAGATTTCCCGGCACAGTAACACAAAAATACACATGTACAAAAGACTAAAATTCTTCAAAAAACAAAACAAAAAAAGTGTTCATATCTTATGCAATGCAGTTGTTTGAAATGTATCAAGTTTCAATTTTTTTTTTAGTTTTAAGACATTTTAAATGGAAAAACAGACAAATTACTCTTTTCTTAAAAGTACTACACAACTCTTGCCCATCTCTTATTTGTTTGTTTATTTGAAAGCAGTAAGATTTAATTTAAGAACCTATAAGACTTCCAGCACAAACTAAGCTCATTTAAAGTAAAGTTTGGGTGTTTTACCAGAGATTAAAATAGACCCTGTTTACATATTTATTGCTGCTTGGGTTTAATGACTGAATAAAGATATCCAGGAATTTTTATTATCTTATTTGCGAGAAAAGCGTTTTGTTTAGCAAATTACATTTTATTGGGTCTCTAAACAGTAATATGCGGCTGTTGAATTTTAATTGCTTGCTGGAGAATTGCCTGTGAGCTGGCCACTCCACTCGTAGCAAGGTTGTTTTGTGTGTGTAGAATAAACAGGAAGCGTTTCCCTGTTGTACTGTAGCTTCAGCTGTTTGGGGTTTGAATGTCAGATCACATTTAAACCTATAGACTCTTCCCGAAGTGAGCCTAGAGGTTTCCTGCTAGATCAGTCAAAAGAAACCAATTCACCCGCCTGAGATATCATTCCTGAATAACCCAAGCGCGACCCCATTCACATGTAGCTAAGGTCTGGAAGGTTAGGTTTTTATCTTGAGAGCCATGTGTTTATCTATCTGAAGAGCGCCGGCCTTCTGTCAGATATCTGAGCAAAATTGCTAGGTTCTATTCAAATGGTTACATGAAAAGCCCAGCTTGCCTTCTTGTAACAGAACACCCGTATTAGAGGACCCACTTTGTGTGCGTGACTTCTGTTCATTAGGCTGGTGAAGAGTGGTACGATACAGATGAAAATTATATGCATTCGCATTTAGCTTGTGCAAGCTCACCCCAAACCAACTTACTAGAGATGTGCCACTCAATCGCCCATTGAAAACAGCAGGGTCCGCTCGCAAGTGAGGTGAAAAGCTTTATGGAAAAATAGGGTGCAATGGCTCTAATCTTCAATGTGAATCAGTCTTTGTTGTGCCTCTCTGTGCATTCACTACAAAGAGAGAGAGACACAAACAGTGGCTATCAGGTTGACGATGCCTCATGACATTCTCACTTTTGGTTTGCGTGCGTTTCTCATTTTTGCCCTTTTGGCCTTCATTCTCCATTCTCAGCCACACTTTGTCAATTGATGTACAAAAGAGGGTGATCAAAAGCTTCTGTAAACTATGTGTGTAAACCACAAACCACAAACAATAATGTGTGTTTCTCATTTTTGCCCTTTTGGCCTTCATTCTCCATTCTCAGCCACACTTTGTGAATTGATATACAACAGAGGGTAATCAAAACCTTCAGTAAACTATGTGTGTAAACCATAAACCACAAACAATATGCCCCCCCAAAATGCGACATGGCAATATAACCCATTTAATTGGTGATGTTGTTTACACTGGATGTGACACAACAAATCCCAGACAGTAAACTGATGCATCGTACTATTTATGACATACTCCAAGCACTCATGATACTTCAACGCATTCTCATCCTTTAACGTCATATAGAACGCTATATGCAAAAATGGCGCTACACTACACACATGGCACCCGTTATCGTTAATATAACACGTACTGTGAGGGCTAAGTTTAGGTGTGGGGTAGGGTGTGCGTGTCATATTCACGCTAAAGGATTTATGACGTCTTGGGTTCACGTGTTATATTAACGATAAAGGGTGCCATGTGCGTTGTATAGCACCGTTTTTGCTTATAGCGTTCTATATGATGTTAAAGGATGAGAACAGGCTGGATACTTAAAACGCATTCTCATCCTAGGGCGTCAAATAGTGATGCTTTTCAAATTTCGTCTAAATCCAATGCTCATGGCACACTTTAGCGTCAATATAACTTGCACAGAGCTTTGTTCGGATATGGGTAGGTTTAGTTCTGGGGTGGGGTTAGGGTTAGACCACTAGGAGGCGCCTTCTGGCCCATATATATTTGCGTCTCATATTGATGCTAAAGGGTGCCATGTGCGTTCGATGTAGACGAAATGTCAAAAGTGTCACTATGACACCTTGGGATGAGAACGGGCTGATACTTCTCAAAGGGAGCACAAATAGATTTGCAATGGTCGCTTTGTTCATTGTAGACAGCTTCTAGCTGTTACCAACACATTCTCATCCTAAGACGCAATCTAACTTTGACCATACGTCAACTTCCAACATTTTAACAACAGTTTTAAGTCAGTTAGATGACAATCCTAGGGCGTCATCCAACTGATGCTTTACCTTTAGCTTTACCTTTAGGTTTAGGTCTGGGGTAGGGTTAGGATTAGATAGCGTCATCTAACTGACGTTAAAGGGTGCCCAAAATGTCTGATGTTGATGTATGGTCAAAAGCGTCAGTTATAGGACGTCTTGGGATGAGAACGGGCTGCTGTTACGGTTCGTCAACGGTCAACGCGGTGTTAGGAACACTTTTATCTCATAAATCACATCGTGATGTTATTTATTTATTTTTTTTCTCTCTTTGTTTTAGGAAAATGTGAACTTGCAGAAAGTTTTTTTTTGATGGGTAGGTCTGGGATATAATAGTTTATACAGTGTAAAAATCATTTTGTCTATGGAAAGTCCCCATAAAACTTGGGAAAAGCTGGAGCTAGTTAGGGCCCGAGCCCTGATGGTGTGAGGATCCTATTGGAATTTCTCAGTTTATTTCTTATTTTTATCCGTAGAAGCCCCCCCCCCATCTCTCTAAAAAAAAAAAAAACTGGATCATTACTGTTACTAATGGCTGTTAATATTTCAGTTCAAAACATTTTTAATAAATGAATTGAATATTCATACTTTTAAAAATGTTTATCAACATATACTGTAAGCTGGGTTTGGAGCAAAGCCTGTTGATCTGAGTGCAAAATCTTGACAAATTTTAGTTTACTGATCATGTCTATTTTAAGTTTTCAAAGAGCAATATGTTTAATCTTTGGCCGTCTTTAAAAGTAAGAAAATATTTACTGAGTGTGTAGATAAAGGCTATTGCTGTCTGGCAGATCTTTAGCATAATAGGTGCGATTTTGCCATCATATTTAAAAAAAGAAAAAATGTGGCCCAAGGGCCTTACCCAGTAGGAAAGCCTATGATTGCATCAAGTATCTCTTGAATAGTCATTTCAGATTTCAGTGCTTCCTGCCTGGTCAGCTTTACTTATATTTGGAAGGGAGCTGATGGAAGGAAATTGCTGCAGGTTCAGGATAGAGCTTGGATTCAAACAGTCCTTCATAAAACTGCCTTAAACTGTCCATGATATCCTTGGGGTTTATTATTTTGCCTGCCTATTTCTTAATTGTATGACTTAATCTGCTGGCATCTGTTTTCCCCCACAGCTCAAAGTGCTTTTTTTCCTAACTTAATTAGAATATATCTTATTTTATTCATATTTGAGTGTAATTTCACTTACTCGGGGCTGCTTTATCCTTCTATTTTTCATTACCTACAAGGATATAGAGGCTCACAGAATCCTATGTGACTTTACAATAATTAAGGACAGGGTAAACAATAACAACAATAAACATAAAACACAAAGCTAGTTCCTCCTGAATTTTTTCTCCAAATGATGCACAGACTTTCTCATTCGTTTCCTATGGCCGGTCAATTTTTTTTTTTTTTTTTTTCATCTTTTTTTTTTTTTCATTTAAAAAGCAAACAAATATATAAGTTCTATAAAAAATTAAATGGTCAAAAATGACTGGAAATTTTTCAATCATTTCACAATTAATAAAATCATCAGCCAATTGTCATCCAGCCATCAAATGGTCAGTGCTGTTTGGAAGTTTGTGTTTTTTTGTGCTAAAAAGTTTCTGTTACCTTCAAACATAAAGGATGCTGTGTGTTTTACAATCATCTGTGTTAGACAGAAAACATGACTTTAAAAGACATTTTCAAAGATCTACCATACTTCTACTTCTACTTGTATTATGACAGTTAAGCCCACCTTGTCAACCTTGCATGGGTGTATGTTTGAATTTTTGTTTGTTTTTTGTCTCCTTTTTTAAACCTAGAGAGCATTTTTTCTCTCTGAGGCCCTTTTCCCTCCCGAGTCTTCATTAAGAGAGACCTTGGATCCAGCCTTCAAACTCCATGAGACTATTGCCAAGGTAAGACTATCCCCCTCTTTTCACTAAAAAAGTGCATTGGTGATTATTTCGTTTGTTGTTGGCTGGCTGTTTCATCAGGTACTGCAGTGTTGAATGCCTATAACTGTCATTAGGATTTTGTTTTGAATGGAAGGCTTTCTTGCTTAACTTTCAAGTGCTAATTGCACAGCTACAAATCATAACTCAAGAGACAAATGCAGTGAGGAAACAAAACAAATAACTTCAAAAGTCACATTTTCTGGTTATTGGCAGCTTGTTTATGCTAAATCTTTTTTCGCATTTTTCAAGTGTATGCGATAAACAAACCTTTTTCTTGGTGTCCGCTTTAATTCCTTTAAGATGTGAATATTTCATTTCTAACTTTCTGTTCTCTGAACTATATTCTCTTGATGTCTGCATTTTGATGTCTAAATGTAGGGTTAAAAGTTTGAATTTGTTTATTAATGTTAAAAGTTTATGTGTGATAATTTGAGCACTACATTAAAATAATGTAAAGAAAGATGGCACTTATCAATAGTAAAATGTGACTCTAAAATTTATTTTTAATTTTTGTTTTTATTTGGAAATTCATTGAATCACACAAAAAAAGGCATTACATACTAGATTTAATTCAGACCGCATACTATATAGCTATTTGGCTAATGGTTAATGTTATCCAGTAACTCATGCAGTTTAAACTAAGTAATTTTTTGCACTGAAAGAGAAAGTGAAAATAATTGAGTCAGCCTTTTTTTAATCTACCGATCAATCGTTTACATTAAAATGAGGAATGTGTATGAAGAAAGTAAAATTCCATTTTGGAAAAAGTCAAGTTGGATTTCATGTTCCTTTTGCAAAGTTTTGCTCATTTGAGAGCTTGTCCAGTCATCATATCGAGAAGTGGGTTCCAGACGGGTCAAAAATACAGTGACCCATGTCCGGTGCTCTCCTGGGTTACGTTATGAAACCCCAGCAGCGTTTCAATCCACAGACATTGATTGCATGGCTTCTGACAGCCTGTTCCCCACCCCTGCAGTCTGTAGAAGAAAAACACGCATGCTTGGATTCAACAACAAACCCTGTGAAAATGTTATTAAATATAGATGAAACAGGCTGGAGATTTTATAAACAATCTCTCTCTCTCTCTCTCTCTCTCTCTCTCTCTCTCTCTCTCTCTCTCTCTCTCTCTCTCTCTCTCTCTCTCTCTCTCTCTCTCTCTCTCTCTCTCTCTCTCTCTCTCTCTGGAAGTTATGGACGCAGCATTAACGGCAGAAAGAAATATGAGCATCATTAAAGTTCCTCATCACAGTCAAGGATATATTGTTCTGCACCATGAATTATTCAGGCCACTGGCAATGACACAAAGAGTTGTGGGACAACAACGAATGCTACTATAGATGAAAGGCTCTCAAAGTGTCCGTTCATTGTCTTGTCTCCTTCAACTACACATTCAAACGAGTATATACAGGAACATTAGATATGGCGTCTGCAGAATCTGAGATGGTAAATATTTAGTGTGGCTTTGAATTCAGCGAGCAGAATTGGAAGTGTCAAAATATCATATTTCTCAGAACAATGGGCAGAAAGGTTGGGAAACTTCCCTGAATAACAAAACAAGATAGAGAGGGTGAAATAACAGGCTTTGAGAAGCATTCAAAGACACACACACACTCTCACACACTAGTGTCAGAAAAAAGGGTAACTTACTTTATTAAAGGAGTAGTTCACTTTTGAAAAAAACCTTTTGCTGATAATTTACTCACCCCCATGTCATGTCCATGTCTTTCTTTCTTCAGTCGAAAAGAAATTAAGGTTTTTGATGAAAACAGTCCAGGATTTTTCTCCATATAATGGACTTCAGTGGGAACCAGACGGTTCAAGTTCCAAAATAAACTTTAAGTACAAAATGCAAACTTGTTCAAAGGGCTTTAAACAATTCCAGACGATGAATAAGGGTCTTATCAAGCGAAACGATCGCTCTTTTTATAAATAAATAACAAAGTTTAAGTTTTATAAGCTCAAACGCTTGCCTTGCTCTGCTCTGTTCGAAAAGTTCCTTTTCGAACTCATTCATCAAAATCAAAAAAAATCTTTTTCTGAGTCATTTGGTTAATTCGGCGAAAAAACGCCAAAACGAACGAATTGATTCGGAAAAAGAATCAAAAGAATTTCGGAAATTTGTTCATTTTGTTGAACGAGTTCGAACAGGAGAGTCACGAACGTGCACCACAGAACAGAGCAAGGCGAGCATTTGATCTTATAAAACTTAAACTTTGTTATTTTTAAAAAAAAAAATAGCAATCGTTTCGCTTGATAAGACCCTTATTTATCGTCTGGAATCGTTTAAAGCCCTTTGAACAAGTTTGCAGTTTGTACTGAAAGTTCCCACTGAAGTCCATTATATGGAGAAAAATCCTGGAACGTTTTCGTCAAAAACCTTAATTTCTTTTCGACTGAAGAAAGAAAGACATGGACATCTTGGATGACATGGGGGTGAGTAAATTATTAGCAAAAGTTTTTTGAAAAGTGAACTAATCTTTTAAATTTGTTTATTTGTTAAATCATGTATGTTCACTAAACTAAATTCACCTAGATTAATAAATTCTCTAAAAATATTGTTCTTTGTTATTTCTATCATGACAAGAGTTTAGCATGGGACTGGATTTGACATAGGCTGCCTAAGGGATCGAAACTTGACGGCCCAGAAATCAAGAGATTTCCACGACGCATATGCGAGAACTGCGTTCTTCAGTAGTAGAATAAGAACGCAATTCTCGCACATACGTCATGGAAATCTCTTGAACTTTCGTCTCAGGCCTACAAGGAAGAAATGAAGTAGTTAAATGAAGTCATTATTTTTGTTTGTTTTTTTCGCACAAAAAGTATTCTCATCGCTTGATAAACTTAAACTTGAGCCACTGTAGTCACATGGAATATTTAAACATTTTCTTCATTGAGTTTCTGGGCGGTCAAGTTTCAATCCCTTAGGCAGCCTATGTAGCAGTGATCCACCTCTCAAATTTAATCAAAAATATCTTCATTTGTGTTCCGAAGACGAACGAAGGTCTTACTGGGTTGGTACAGCTTGGGGGTGAGTAATTAATGACTTAATTTTCATTTTTGGGTGAACTATCCCTTTAATTTCTGTGTAAATGTATTTATGCCGCTCCAGATATGCATTAAACACTCTTTTCTTGATTGTATCCCGCTTCAGGATTTATACCTAAGACATGTAGCATTTTGAGTCGATGATTAATTCAATGTGATTCTGACGATTTAACTCAAACTGTACATTAAAAGGATCATTTGTAAATGCATTCGGTGACTTGTTGATACAACGAAGTAGGCTACTCTTTGGTGAATACAAAAGGAAGGACAAATGAATGTTCATAAATCTGTCATGTATGTTATAGAGCATAAAAATTTGATTTATTCTGCCGACGTACATAACTTTCACACTCACAGTCACCTAATCCTCTAGAGTACATCTTGTATAAATATGCCCTACTTTCCAAACAGTATGAGTTCTTAGTCACATTGGCCCTGTAATGATGCCGTAAGGGTTGCCGTTTCCTGCCTTCCATGAGCTTGGCGTGACTCTAAAGCCAATATTAATGAATCCTAATGCCTCTTGAGAGTTTCCTTAATATCACGTGACCTGCCAGCCTTTCCCAAGTTGGTGTTCCAGTGAAATAACAGCTACAGACATCGTTAGTTTGATCTAGATTTCATACGAAACTAAACTCAAGTAGCCCCCCGATGCCAGCTTAAATCTGTGGAGGCAGACGTGAATTGATGGGGTGTGAGAGTTGGGTACCAGTGCTGTCTGATGGTCTCCAGCTGCAGTACAAGCAAACTTGAAATCCCCAGGTTCCTCTGTAAGGCCAGGGCTGTTGTATCTGTGGTGTCACACTTCTCTACGCCTCCAGGTCCCATAGGACCTCAGGCCCGGGCCGAACTCTCTTTTTCTGCAGGCTGAGGAGCTTTGGGAGTTCGTTCCACAAAGCTTATCACATCCTCTGCTCATTTTTCAACCCCACCTTTACAACCGCAGCTGGGCTAGGTTGACGGGAGGACAGAGGGGCCGAGTAGTACAGGGTGTGTTTGAGTCAGTTCCACTCAGCCTGGCACGAAAGCCTGGCATCGATCATTTGAGCCACAGGTATGCTTACACTTCATCACCCTCGCAGGGCCCACATGCAGCATACCAACACTCTAGGGCTCAGAGCCTCTGTGCTGACTACTTAGAGTACCGCTTTAAAGATCTACATCTAAATTCGCTCATTCCCTTAATAGGTTAGTTTGGCCTCCTTTTAGAATGTGTGCTCCATTTGCAATGTTGTAGTGCATCAAATTGTTTGCCTTGGTCCCTTTTTCATACTTTTTTATGTTATAAATAAGACAATGCCTAGTCTGGCGATGCAAGTTGTAGAAACAATATATGAAGAGTTCAGATGCAAAAGCCTCTAAATGCCATTTGAAATTTTCTTCTAAAATGACCATTTTTATCAAACTTGTATATTTAAGTTCAGTAATTTCACTTAAATGACAATTAATAGGTAATCTTTATTGCCATTTAAGTTAAATTACTGAACTTAAATATACAAGCTTGATAAAAATGGTCATTTTAGAAGAAAATTTCAAATGGCATTTAGAGGCTTTTTTTGCATCTGAACTCTTCATATATATATATATATATATATATATATATATATTATACACATAATATGTACACATATTATGCACATACTATATGTATACATATTTTACAGCATGCACAAATGCTGGAGTATAAACATAATAATTGGTTAACCTTTAAGTTACATTACGATATATGCTGAAAAAGCACAAAAAATCTATAAGTGACATTCCCAGAAGTTTCTGCATGAAAATAAAATGTCATTTTATTTAAATAGTTTTTTTTTTTTTTATAATACACCATTGCTATTATTATTATTATTATTATCATTATTTGGTTAGTAAGTCCCATTACTGGAATAAATTTAAAATTTAAAATATAT